CGCAGATGTGAATAGATGTTTCGGTAGCGCTCCCAGTGGGCCCACGAACCGCACGAGGGGCGCGCCGAAATGTGTGGCGGCGTACACAACGCGAACGAATGCGATAGGTCGAACGACGAGAGACTGAGCGCGGGCGAGTCTGAGCGCGAGCGAGTCTGAGTGCGAGCGAAACTGCGCGCGAGTGAATATACTTGCACGCATACGAGCATGCCCACGTATGGCGTAAATGTATGTGAATGTGAACGGTTCGGGTATGCCTGACTCTGAGCACTCGTAACACTGAGCGCGCCGCAGGGAGCTTCCCCGGGAACCCCGAGGGCAGCGCCCGCGCGCCGCGACGCCCATGTCGGCACGCCCATCACGGGGATCGCGCTCGCTTCTTCCCCATCGGCCCCTCCCTCTTTGCCCGCGCACTCCAGAGTCCAAGGCTGCGGGCGCGTCGCGGCGCGGAGTGGCCGCGACGCGCCCTGTCCGCCCCAGAGAGGCCCCAACGACGCGCGCGGGTCGTCCGCGGCGCGGAGCAAAGAGAGCTAGCTGGCTGACTTATAGCAGGCAAGGCTCTGCCCGCCGGGCGGGGCGACGACGGGCGAGCAAAGCGCCGGGCAGAACGCAGCGCGGAGTTCCCGCGACGCGCGCCGGTCGCCCCGAGAAGGCCCCAGCGACGCGCGCAGGTCGCCCGCGGTGCGAGGCCAAACAGCTAGTTGGACAGTCGAGAGCAGGCGCGGCTCGGGCGGGACGCCCCTCAAGTCAGGCCTCGCGGAGAAGTTCTGTGAAATCGAGCTCCCTGGCGAGGGCCGTCGCCTCTCTCCTGCGCCGCCTCGCGCGCGCCGCGAACTGCTCCGGCTGCTTCCGCGAGTCCTGCGGCGGCCCTGCCAGGAAGAACTCGACGCGCGGCACCCGCACGAGCAGGAGGTCATCGCGGCGCGTGGCGCGCGAGAGCAGCGCATGAAGCTCCAGCCACCAGTCGTCGTCCTCCTTCTTAGCCGTTCCCGACCTCGTCGCAGCCGCAGTCCACGATCGCGCCTGGGCGACGTCGGCCGAGGGAGAAGCGCGCCGGACAGCCAGCGGCCCAGGGCGGGTCCACAGGACCGAGAAATGGTCTGGCTGCGGACCGCTCGCGCCCAGTAAGTTCGGCTGTAGACTGCCTAGGGGCGCCGTTCCCTTGTCCCGTCGCCTTCTCGCATGGCGCACCCCCGGCACGCCGCCGCGGCGATGGCCCTGCCGCGCGAAAACGGGAAGCCCGTCTGGGTGACCCTGGAGGCGCGGAAGGTGAACGGCTCCGACCGCGCGGGGCTCGGTGAACGCCAGCGGGCCCGCGAGGTCCCCCGCGAGGCTGTCGCCGTGGCGCTTCAAGTCGTCGACGAAGGGCGCGCTCGCGTACTTCTCCATGCGCGCCCAGAACCCCAGCGGCAAGCGCTTCAGATTGATCCTCCTCTCCCCGTCTCTCTCGGCTGCCTCCACCTCGGCCCTGTCCCGCGGGCCCACGACGACGCGCACGATCTGCCCCTCGGCATCCTTGACGAAGCCGCTCTTGAATTCGAGCCTCCAGGAGCCGAATCCGCATGCCCACCTGCACAGGAAGGAGTCCGCGCATGCCACCGGTGTTCTTTGGGCTGGCGCAGCTCATCACCTTGGCGGCATCCTTCACGCTCATCGCCGGGGCAGACCTGTCGGCTGCCTGCACAAGGAAGAGGGGCTTCTTCAGTACATCCGCGCCCCGCTGGGCGCGCATATTCATCCACCGTGCCGCGGTGTCCCAACGGGACCCGATCATGTGGCCATTCTAGAACCTATCTTCCTGGAGCCTCCGTTCGTCGGGCTTCACCTACATGACGTTCCACGTAGCCCGGATGGCTGGAGGGACCTGTTTCCCCGGTTTGCGCAGGAATGCCATGAGGTCCCGCAGCTTCGGGTCTTTGAAGCGGTTGGACGCCTGGAGATCGAAGTACAGCGGCGTGCTGCAGAAAAGCTTCATCCTCCTGGCATTCTGGAGCGAGGTTGATGTCCGCCGCCGCCAGTTCGTCGAAGCTGGAGATGAGGGACACTTTGCCTCCCGTCGGCTTCAGCTGCAGGAAGTCCCCCAGGTGGATCACGATGGGCATCCGGCCGAAGACGCCCCCGACCTGGTCGTATTCCCGCTCCTCCGCACCCCTCTCGGCCTTGCGTCCCAAGTAGGACTGGAATGCCAGCATGTTGAACAGACTGGGCGAGATCATGCTCACCTCCTCCAGGATCAAGCACTTGACCGCCCCCCGACCCTGCGAACCCTGCCACTGGCGCCTTCGGTGGAGCTCCCTATGGGGCAACGATCATCGTGAAGGGTGCGCCGATATGGGGCGGGGCCGCCATGACAACCCTGCGACTGGGGCCTTCGGTGAAGCTCCCTTTGGTGCCACGAACCGCGTGAGGGCTGTGCCAAAATGGGGCGGGACCGCCATGCGAAACCTGCCACTGGCGCCCTCGGTGGAGCCTCCCACGGGGCCACGAGCTGTGTGAGGGATGCGCCGAAGTGGGCCGGGGCCGCCATGCGAACCAAGCCATTGGCGCCTTCTGTGGAGCTCCCTAAGGGGCCACTTGGGGCATTAGCTCGAACTCCTTAAGGGGCCACGGAACGTGTGATGGGTGTGCCGAAATGGGGCGGGGCCGCCATGCGAACTTTCCCTCTGGGGCCCTAGGTGGAGCTCCCTATGTGGCCACGAGCCGTGTGAGGGGTGCGCAGGCATGGGGCGGGGCCGCCATGCGAACTTTCCCTCTGGGGCCTGAGGGGGAGCTCCCTATGGGGCCACGAGCGGTGTGAGGGGTGCGCCGAAGTGGGGCGGGGCCGTCATGCGAACTTTCCGAATGGGGCCTTCGGTGGAGCTCCCTATGGGGCCACGAAACGTGTAAGGGGTGTGCCGGAATGAGGCGGGGCCGCCATTCAAACTTTGTCACTGGGGCCTTAGGTGGAGCTCCCTATGGGGCCACGAAACGTGTGAGGGGTGTGCCGAAATGGGGCAGGGCCGCCATGCGAACTTTCCCATTGTGGCCTTAGGTGGAGCTCCCTATGGGGCCACGAAACGTGTGAGGGGTGTGCCGAAATGGGGCGGGGCCGCCATGCGAACTTTCCCATTGTGGCCTTAGGTGGAGCTCCCTATGGGGCCACGAAACGTGTGAGGGGTGTGCCGAATTGGTGGGCACGCGGAGAACAGAGGCACGACGCTGACGATGGCGATGTTGATGACGCCGATGATGGCGATGGTGCCCACGATGATGGTGATGGTAGTGATGATGATGATGACGATGACGATGATAGTGGTGAGAGGGGGAGGGAGTCGGCAGCGGGAGGAGGAGGAGGGAGATGAGGGGCGCTGCCTCTTCAAAACGAGGACCCAACACCACAGGATGGTTGGGAAAAAACGGCTTCATCTCTTGGAGGCGCATCTTGTGCTTCCGCCACCTTCCGCCAGCCTTCCGCTGGCTTCCGCCGGCGTGGGCGGCTTCGTTTTACTTCCGCTGCCCTCCGCTGGCTTTCTCCGCCGCCTTCCGCAGAGGAAGAAATGGCAACTCTTTCGACCCTCGAAGGAAAGGCCCTTTCTGGAGAGCCCGATTGGTTTGTGGCGTATGAGGGTTTGGAAACAGCGCGGCGGAAGATGGGGATGGGGAGCGGTGAAACGATACCGATCCTCCCGCGCAGTGGACGACATCCTCCTTGCCCTCCCTGCGCCAGCGCCACCCTGCCCCTGCTCCCGCTGTTCCCGCCCCGCCCAAGAGCCGAAAACCCGCCGGATGCGCGCGGTGTAAAAGCTTCGGGCTGCGCACAGACACGAAGGGACCCAGGGACACACAAATGAATTGGCACAACTCCCAGGGTTGCCCCTATTTCCACACCTCCTGGATGTTCGTCTTCCCCTCCACTTCCCGCATGTTCCATATTTCCCCAGGAATCGGGAATGATGTGTGTGTGTCTCTGTGTTTTTCCCCTGCTGGCAGACAGCCCACGCCAGACAGCCCCAGCTGGTCTCAGCAGGCCCCCCGAGCACAGTCAAAACCGACAACAAGGATGCGCGGTAAGCCGTTGGACGTCCGTGTCGAGGCTCGTCGAGCGGGGCTGCCCCTCGAAAGTGGCCAAGGATGGACCAGAGAGGCACGGACGCAAGGATCCCCTTGGAAAGGTAACCCATCCTTACCATCGGTTTCGACTGTAGCCTTGGGTCGGGCATGTCCTCCACAGGCGGAGTTTGGAAGAAAAATCAAAGCACAGTCAAACAATTCTCAAAAATAGTCAAAAGAGCACGGACAATCGTGACCAGACTATTGTTCAACTACTCTCGAATGTGCCTCCTGTAGACGGACACGCCCGACTTAACCCTGGAGCGCGGAGCGCTCCAGGGGCGCCTCCGAAGGCGGCGCCAAGGTATCGAGGCCGCGCCTGACACCTCGGGGGGGCGGGGCCTGCCGACGCCAGCCAGGACGTCCTGGGGTGCCGCCCGTGCGCAGCCCTGGTTTCCCGGAGGAGGACGAGAAGGAGAAGGAGGGGGAGGAGGAGGTGGAGGAGGAGGACGAGAGGACGAGAAGGACGAGGAGGAGGAGGAAGAAGAAGAAGAAGCATATCAATAACAAGAAGCAGAAGAAGAAGCAGAAGCAGAAAAGGAAGAAGAAGCAGCAGAAGCAGAATAAGGATACCAAGAAGCAAAAGAAGAAGAAACAAAAAAGAAGGATAATAAGCAGAAGAAGAAGAAGCATAAGCAGAAGAATAATAAGGAGAAGAAGCAGAAGAAGAAGACGACGATGAATACTAATAAGAACAAGAAGAAGAAGAAGAAGAAGAAGGAGGAGGAGGAGGAGGCGGAGCAGAAGAAGACGAAGAAGGACGAAGACGAGGACGAGGGCGAGGACGAGGAGGAGGAGGACGAGGGAGAGGTGGAGGAGGAGGGAGAGGAGGAGGAGGAGGAGGGGGAGGAGGAGGAGGAGGAGGGAGGAGGAGGAGGAGGGAGAGGAGGAGGAGAAGGAGCCGCAGCTCGAATCCTGTGCCATCTTCTGGCAGCTCTCCGGGAAAGTGGCGGAGAACAACCGCCGGCCCCTCTCTCGGGCACTCGGCGTGCCCGGGCCCCTGCCCCTGGCAGAGCCCAACCAGGCTCCATCTGGCCCCTCCCCCTCCTCCTCCTCCCCCCTCCTAGCCAGAGCCTCCTCCTCTCCTCCTCCTCCTCCTCCTCCTCCTCCCTCCTCCTCCTCCTCCTCCTCCTCCTCCTCCTCCTCCTCCTCTCCTCCTCCTCCCTCCTCCTCCTCCTCTCCTCCTCCCTCCTCTCATCAGCATCAGCATCAGCATCAGCATCAGCATCATCGTCATCATCATCATCTCATCATCATCATCATCATCATCATCATCATCATCATCATCATCATCATCATCAGATCATCATCATCATCCATCATCATCATCCACCACCACCATCATCATCATCATCATCATCATCATCAGCATCATCATCACCACCATCATAATCATCATCATCATCATCATCATCATCAGCATCATCATCATATCATCATCATCATCATCATCATCATCATCATCATCATCATCATCATCATCATCATCATCATCATCACCATCACCATCATCATCATCATCATCATCATCATCATCATCATCATCATCATCATCGGCATCATCAACATCATCACCATCATCACCATCATCACCACCATCCGCATCATCAGCATCATCAGCATCATAACCCTCATCCACAACCTCCTCACATCATCATCAGCAGCGTCATCAGCATCATCATCATCATCATCATCATCATCATCATCATCATCATCATAATCAGCATCCTCATCATATCCTCATCATCATCAGGTCCATCAGCATCAGCAACAGCAACATCACCATCATCAGCATCAGCATCATCACCATCACCATAACCATAAATCAGCATCAGCATCATCACCACTACCATCATCATCATCATCATCATCATCATCATCATCATCATCATCATCATCATCATCATCATCATTGTCAGCATCCTCGTTATCATCACCATCACCATCACCATCATCATCATCATCATCCTCATCCTCCTCCTCATCATCCTCCTCATCATGATCATCCCTCCCTCCCTCCCTCCCGCCCGCCCGCCCGCCCGCCCGCGTGCCCGCCCGCCAGCCCGCCCTCCTCTCCCCGCGGCCCCGCCTGGTCCTCCACCCAAAGCCCAAGGGCCTGGATCTCCTCGAGGCCCCACGCGAGACGAGGCAGTAGGGAAGAGAGAGGGAGGGGATGCGAGGGAGGGAAAGGGAGGGAGGGAGGAGGGAGGAGGGAGGGAGGGAAGAGTGCAGGGACGGAGGCCCGGCGGGGATAGGCGGGAGGACAAGCACCTCCCCTGCAGGTCGAACGTCGCGACTCGGGGGCAGTGGGCTGCCCGTGCCAAAGGGGGGGGCCCGGAGGACCACGAGAGATCGTCAGACCAGCCCGCTGAGCTGGCCCAAGAAGCAACCCCCGGCGGCGCCAGGACGGCCCAAGATCGGGGATCTTCTGACCCAGGTCAATCCAGACCCGGGTCAGCAGGAAACCAAAAACTGCAATGCAGGAAAAAAAACTGCAACGCAGGTCTTCGCAAACCCGGGTCAGCCAATATGTGCGGCCGCCTGGCGGCCACGAGCGGCTCCCTAACCCGGGTCAGCCCGAGGGGGTCTTCGCAGGATCCTGCAGGATCTGGCGCCCTGGCTGACCCCCGTTTGCACTGACCCCCGTCTCAAGGCTCCCGACAAGAGGGTCTCGGAAGAGCCCCGGGGACGGCCCGGGGGTGCGGAGAGACGGCCAGACAAGGCCCTCGCGAGGGCCAAGACGCATTGCTCCAGGAGGCTCTGGACGTGTGAGGAGACACCCTTCAACAGCAGCAGCAGCAGCAGCAGCAGCAGCAGGATTGAAACCATCAGGATCACAGCCGGCGGCTGAGCAAACAGCAGCAAGCAACCGGCAGCAGGCAGCAGACAGTCAACGGCAGGCAGCAGCAGGCAGCAGCAAGCAGCAGCAGCAGCAGAAGCAGCAGCAGCAGCATCAGTAGCAGAAACAGGAGCAGCGGCAGCAGAACGCAGCAGCGAGCATAATCGACAAGCATCAGCAACCAGCAGCAGCAACCAACACCACACAGCAGCAGCCAGTAGCGAGCAGCAGCAGCAGCAGCAATCAAAAGTAAAAGCAACGGGCAGCCACGAACCGAAGGGGGCGGCAGTAGTGGCGCAGGCCCATCGGATCATGGTCTGGCGCTTGTCCTTGCTCGGCATGTCGTGCTGCTCGCAGATCTCCCTAATCTGGGGCTCGAAACCCATGTCCTCGGCAGGAGGAGACAAGACAGAGGGCGACCACGGCGAGCCAGGAGTGGCACGGACGTGCCGCCAAGAGGGGGAGTCCAGCGCCGACCCAACAAAATCCCTTTTGCTTCTTCTTCGGCTGGAAAGGGCACGGCGCCAGTGCGCGCGAGGAGGAGGAGGAGGAGGAGGACGAGGAGGAGGAAA